TCCTTGGGATTCTGGAGTGCCTTTGTGAACACAGAAAGGACAAAAAAGTGAAAATCCTCCGATAGGTTTGGAGGCTGTTGCAAACACCACCACTCATTTTGCCAGAGTTTCTCTTTTTTCTTTTGACAACAAGGGAGTGTTTTATGAGTCAAGTTACGGAAAGGGTTTTTTTAAAATCAACTCTCTGTTTGAGGTCAGACAACATCTTTCCCCCAACCACTATCTTTAATTGGAACTGATAATGTTTTCTATCCTAGCACAGATTGGTACCAAGGCTGGCTACAGACAGCAGCTATTTTATTCAGCTTCATGACACACTTTCCTTAGACTGGATTCTTGGGCTGAAAATAGAGGCGGACGTTAAAAAGACTAAGTGAGGCATGATTTGGGTACATCTTGACCATTAGATCCTTAGCTGTTTTATCTCTGAAGAATTTTTTAGATCAGACGTATAAGAAATCATTTGGCTTTGCTATATATGCAAAATAAAGCAGGACCTTTATTTAAAGGATCTAAAGGTCTGTATAGATTCTCAGTCATCTAGGTCATGGTTGTCCCAAAGGTGCTTTTTCAGGAGGCAACTGGACTTTCTTGTTTTTTTCTTTGAAGATGTTTTGCTTCTCAGCCAAGAAGCTTCTTCAGCTCTGACAGGATAGTGGGTGGACAGGATAGTGGATAGTCTTCAAAGAAAAAAAAACAAGGAAGTCCAGTTGCCTCTTGAAAAAGCACCTTTGGGACAACCATGACCTGGATGACTGAGAATCTCTACAGACTTTAGATATACAATTTGGGATGAATACCCTTTGAATGGTGTGGGAGTAGGAATGGATTTCTAGAGAAAAATTGCAGACTACAAGAATTAGGAGCACTACTCAGGTGACCATGAGGACACAGATAAACCTCCAAGTGTTTCAATGACCCTCTAAAAGGATGAAAATAATCAGCTGTCTGCAAGGAATATACAGTAAATCCTTCCATTCCCCATTATCCTGTCTTCAAAGGGAAAAAAAAGTCCAGTTGCCTCCTGAAAAAGCACTATTTAAAGGATCTTACCAACACGGACCAACTTTTTTTTTTTCATTTTGGGAAATTGGGAAGAGTTTGAAATAGACAAATGGGTCCCTTCCCCCTTGCAAACACTCGAAGTGTTATTCTACCCATTAAAATTGTTTATCATTCTCCTACTTCCCAAATCAAACCTAACCCACTTTAGAAGTATGATCCATGACATACCAGGAAAAGCCAGACATGGTAAGCTTTTAAACTCTGCCTTTATAACATGCGCCACTATAAGCATGTGAGCTGAATCAGTGGTTTATCTCACAAGGCATCCTCTGTTATTAAGGAATTATTCTCCTCTGCCTATTCCTCAGTTCTTCTGATGGTCTTAACAGGAATTATATGTGTCTTCTTTTACTACTTTTGTTATATGGATTGAATCGGCTTCCTAGACATTTCAAACTGGCCAACAAAGCAGATTCAACATGATTTTCCAATTGCCACAAACATTCCATATATTCCCACGGCTATCCTTCTCCACCCAGTTTTTTAAAGGAGCATGAACAGGATTTCTAATCCCCTTCCCAACCAGCCACAAACCATTCCTAGATCAATTTAGTTTCAACAAGGTGGCCATGTTGTACTATGTATTCCGTTTGAGTGGGCCCTGTTCTATTTCTGAATAGGTTTTGCAGATAAGGTATTCATAAGTAAAACTAAATTTGTCCTTGAAATAAACTTTATTATAGATGATTATATGGATACATGGCAACAGTGTATACTTTTTTTTTTTATTGCTATTACCTTCTTCTAGGAAGTTTTAATTTTTTAAAAAAAAATTAGTTCTGGCTTTTTAAAAAATAAATAATTCAAGGTGGCAAATGTACCTAATTTTCCTTCTATTTTCCCCACAACAACAGTCCTATGAGGTCAGTTGGACTGAGAGAAAATGACTGGCCCAAAGTTACACAGCCAGCTTTTGTGCCTAAGGTGGGACTCCCCTGGTTTCTAGCCTCATACCTTAACCACTAGACCAGTGGAACCTGCAGTGGTGGGTTACTACCAGTTCTCCCCGGTTCTTGCGAATTGGTAGTGGAAATTTTGAGTAGTTTGGAGAACCGGTAAATACCACCTCTGCCTGGCCCTGCCCCCAATATATTCACTGCCTCCCAAGTCCCAGCTGATCGGCTAGAAGGAAAAAAACTGTTTAAACTCTTGCTGTGGCACTTCAAAGGGCCGCCCTACAGCTGATCAGTGGTAAAAGGCAGTGTGGTGGTAGACCAGTGCACTCCAAAAATAAATCGGTAGACCGGTGCGCTCCAAAAACAAATAGGTAGACTGGTACGGCTCTGCAAGCAGTTAAAAGCCTGGTAGACCAATACCTCTGCTAAATCCTAAAGAATTGTCACATGACCATCAAACCATGCCCACAAAATAAGCCACACCCACAGAACCAGTAGTAAAAAAAATTAGAACCCACCCCTGATTCCCTGGTATTGTCTGCAACCCCCATCAAGTAAAAATGATTCTGACTCTGCTTAGATATATTCTGTATAACTTGGTTTCAAGCATTAGGTAAGGCAATTGCCCATTGATAGGAACAAAAATAGTCCCAGGAAAGGCATATAGTTGCAGAATGACCACCACTCTGAACCTGTTCATATTCAACTGGATAGCTATCAAAGTTGAAATTATAAACAAATGCCCTTCAGTATTCTCCTTCCATCTTGCCTTCAGAAACACCTGACTTCAGCATTAGCAAGTGAGATCAAAATTTTCTCTGAGGGAGTGATTTTTCTGCTGCCTTTACTTATCAAATGTCCTAAATATTTCACTTCCTTTTCCACATACTGGAGTTTGTTTTTAGATACTCTCAGTCCTTGAGATGCTAGATAATTTAACAAGTCGTTGGTTCGCTTCTCTGCATCTGTGCCAGCAGAGCCATTGGTAAAGAAACCTTGACAGATATATTCCAAGACTATTGGAGGTGGCCAGATCTTTCAAGAGATGATTCCTAAACTGTGGTTTTATTTCTGATTTTGTTGTTACTCTTCTCATGCGTTTCTTGGCTTTTGTGTGTTCGTGGATTTGTTTTGTTTTTGTCCATTTGTCTCTATTGAAAAGGGAACACAGTAGTTAAATATTTTAAAAATGTAGATAAATAGAATGGCTGTGGACTGCATTGGCCCACATGAACAGATGTCCATATGCATGCAGCAGCCATTGTTGCCATTTGAATTAAACATCCACAGGATTCCATATAATTGGCTCTCTATGGTGAGTAATCAGGAAGAGCTTTGGAAGATTCCTTGATCAGGGATAAGGTACCTTTGATCCCCTTGCCCTGTGATTTTTCATAATAAATGATATCTCCAATTTGAAAGAATGTCCCCTTCAACAATGGAAGCCCCAAGTGGTCTCCATCCCACAGAACAGCAGGAATAAAGAAAGATTTAGAAAAAACCTATGCCAGTTCAATGCCCTTTGCTAAAAAACTGACCAGCACTGAACATATATTTCTCCTTCATGAAATCCTCCTGGAACAAAATTTTAGTTTTAAAAGGAAAACTTCAGCTTTAAACAGAATTGTCATTTGGTTCTTCTTCTTCTTCTTCTTCTTCTTCTTCTTCTTCTTCTTCTTCTTCTTCTTCTTCTTCTTCTTCTTCTTCTCCTTCTCCTTCCTTCTTCTTCTTCTTCTTCTTCTCTTCCTCTTTCCTTCTCCTCCTCCTCCTCCTCCTCCTCCTCCCCCCTCCTCCTCCCCCCCCTCCTCCTCTCCTCCTCTCCTCCTCCTCCTCCTCCTCCTCTCCTTTTCTTCTTCTTCTTCTTCTTCTTCTTCTTCTTCTTTTCTTCTTCTTCTTCTCTTCTTCTTCTTCTTCTTCTTCTTCTTCTTCTTCTTCTTCTTCTTCTTCTTCTTCTTCTTCTTCTTCTTCTTCTTCTTCTTCTTCTTCTTAAATATCGCGACCTGGCCATCAAAACTACACGGCTATGGATGAAACATGTACCAGTGATACCCATTGTCATCAGAGCACTTGGTACCATGTCCAAGAATTTTATAAGATACATCAACAAATTGCAGCTTCCTGCAATAACACCAGCAGAACTGCAAAAAACTGCACTACTTGGAAGATCGTACATCTTAAGAAGGTACTTGGTTGATACCTAGGACGCTGGCAGCAACCCGTATCAATCATTAGCACCAGTCAATGGTATTTGTGTTGCATTTTTGAATGTTCAGTTGGCTGAGTTTCATGTTTAATGAATAAAGTAAATAATAATAACAATATTTTTTTCCTAATGGAGAAGGGTGTTATTTTTGTTGGATTGTGGCTTCAGCCCCTAGGGTAGTCTACAGCAAGCTGGCTAAACAAACTAATCTGCTATCAGATCGTGGAGGTCAAAACACATATACAATGCTACTGAAATCTTAAGTCTCAAAACAAACAACTGTTGTTTGTTCAGCCTGTGTGGAACCTCTTTGCTCCATGCATGGAGAGGATTTTGTACTTCACTATGTCCAATTATTCTCAATCTGGCATGTTACTATATTTCTAAAGCAATAGCAAGATTTTTACAGTTTCTAAGGGATTTGCTCGCATTGGGCATTTTACCTTTTGCCTTCGGTGGAATGTGTTTCCGACTATCCTTAGATATATTGATGTTATCTAATAGCAAAGTAGGCTAACACCAATACAATTTAATCTGAACTCTGGATTCAACAGCCGGTTCAGGAGCTTATGTTTCACTAAAATGCTGTTGTTGCTGCTGCTTTGCCCATAAGATCATCTTAAACCAAGAATTTAACTTGAGGCCCCAAGGATCACCTGTGTCTCCTCATGCCTGAGGTATGTCCCTCCCAAAATTGTCACCATTTTAAAAATGTAATGGAAGGAGGAATAATCATATTAACTATGTTTAATTTCAATCCAACCCTAATCTAATTCCTTTCTTTCACTTTTTTAATCTGCACCACCTACTTTTTGGAGTGCATGTCACCCAGCATAGCTGTGGGTCCTGGCTATGACATGTATTCCACTGCTTTTTTTTTTTTTCAAAATAGAAAATATTTATTATATTAAACTACAATTACAGAATATACAACATTTAGAAAAAGGCACTCCAGTATCTCAAAAACCTAATTATTTAAAAGCAATACTTTCTTTACAACACAAATGACAACCATTTCCTAAAAACAGCTGTTTATTATTTGTACATTGAGCAGCCACTGCAAAAGATTTGATCTCCAACATCCTCTGATTCTATAACTGAGCATAATGAACAGACAATGGTGCTGCAACAGCTGCAGAGTTTGCTGCAGTTCTGGCATATGTACTGATCACACTGTGTGCAAACATCTTTGATGTCAACTGTTCTTATACAGGAGGAACAGGCTTTTGATACTCCTACCGGCAAAACCATTTCACTTGCACAGGGTTGTCGAAGTTTTCCATCCTGCCCAATTAACATTTGTCCATTACATCTGTGCCAGGAACAAATTTCTGATTTGTCTATACATGATTCTGGATATTGTGCAATTAGATATGTTCCCACTGCACTTGCATTGCAAGCATTGTTCATGTATGTTTGAGCCCCTTTGAAGAGTAGTTGTTTGGTTTTCTCGAAGATCTCGCACCGGTACCTCTCGCCCATGACGCCCTGGCTCAGCTCCTTCAGCCGCACGCGCGTCTTCAGCTGCACCGGGGACGAGTCTGCGAACGGGCAGGACCGCTTCGGCATCTCTTCCCCACGACCAACACGGCGACCATGGCACGGGGCAACCCGCAGCTCCGGCTGAGCTGGAACAATTAACGCGCCAATCGAGCGCTGCCTTTTCTGCGTGGCAAAAGGCGTAAACAAGACGCCTTTTCCGGGAGGAATCCGCTGCACAGCCTGCCTGCTTGGTCACCCGCGCCTTTTACCTTATTCCACTGCTTTTAAACTAGCTTGATTGAGACAGAAACTGCAAAGCCAATTTGGTGTAGCAGTTAAGGCATCAGGCTAGAAACCGGGAGATTGTGAATTCTAGTCTCACTTTAGGCACAAGGCCAGCTGGGTGACTTTGGGCCAGTCACTTTCTCTCAGCTCTGGGAAGGAAGCAATGGCAAACCACTTCTGAAAAACCTTGCCAAGAAAACTGCAGGGACTTGTCTAACACAGTCACTGAGAATTGGACACAACTGAACGGAAGGGGGAAAAAAAGTTGCTATAGGCTTGCAGGCACCTGGAGAAAATACTGACTGGTAAAAAGGTCTTAAAAATTACCAGAACATCCAAATACCAATTAGCAATAGCACTTAGACTTAAATACCACTTTACAGCCCTCTCTAAGCGGTTTAAAGAGCCAGCATATTGCCATCAACAATCTGAATGGTCATTTACCGATCTCACAAGGATGGAAGGCCGAGTCAATCTCGAGCCGGTGAGATTCGAATTGCCAAACTTCCAGCAGTCAGCAGAATTAGCCTGCAATACTGCATTCTAACCACCACACAACAATACTAGTCTAATATTATGAAGGCAAATATTTAATATTGAAGGCAAATTAATATAATAATTTTCATATATACCATTAAAAAGATGGTCTCAGCCACCATAACATATGTGCGGCTAGAGCCATGAAGGGAATGAAGACTAGAAAGAAAACACACAGAGCAAGTTTAGTGTCATGCCAGAACTGAAATCCCAGAAATTTGCCCATGATACTCTGTGTAGAGTCCAACTGCATCTGTGCCTGCATAGAGAGACCACCTGAGAAGAAGTTAGGCTAATCCATGAAGACACCATCCCTAGACAGAAAATGGTCTTCTTATGAGGTCAGATTTTGGCAGCCTTTTCAAGAGATTTGGAACATCTGCTTAGTACTCAGCTCCCAGGAGCTTCAAAAAAACATCAATGTGCAACTCTAGCAGGAGAGAAAAACAGTGATGATTTCTACAAGGGGATGAAAGAAATAAATTCAGAATGTAGATATTCTCCTTTCACACATTTATATGCCTAGGAACCCCAGCCTTGATACTTATCTGGTTCCCTTTCTCATATGATTTCTCCAATGTTTTGGTTTTTTTTTAAAAAAAAACCTCAGGTTTTTTTAGAAATTGGCATGGTGTGAACACCAGCACCAACAATCTTGTTTATTCCTAAAATGTTTTGTGGTTGGTCCCAATATAGAAAACCTGAGCCAGAAATGCAGCAGTTGAGAAGTCATTTAACTTAGAGGAATGTCCACATGCTCAGAAAATAGCAAAGGAGGTATAGTAAATAGCATCCTATTGAGATAAGTGAAACAACTTCATCAGTCTAGTAAGTAGCATTTTGTGACACCAAATCTAGTATGACGGATACTTTATGCTTTTCAAATTTCAAGGATTCTGCATGTTCCCCCAGAAATTGGGGAACTCTGTTCTTTACTAAGTGCTCTGAAAACTAAACAGTCATCCTCCTACTAGAGGCAGTTGTAAATTTGTTCAGCAGCCTTTCATGATTGCTCCAATAATAACACTATTTTTTAAAAAATCCATTGTTATGCCCCTAGGCCAGTGTTTCTCAAGTTTGGCAAGTTTAAGATGTGTAGACTTCAACTCCCAGAATTCCCCAGCCAGCATGACTGGCTGGGGAATTCTGGGAGTTGAAGTCTACACATCTTAAAGTACTAAGGTTGAGAAACAGTGCCCTAGGCAATATACATGTCTAAGTAGATAGACAAACATGCATATATAACAAAAGAATCATTAATAGATCCCTACAATTATATTTATTAGGCATGACTGCCTGTTACCGACTGCATTGATTGGGTGAGTAAAATGTACTGAGCTTTGACAAAACTGGTAAAATGCAATCGTTAGTTTTTAATTTGGTAACAATCTTATCAAAGCTAAGATTTAAATGGTTGAGATTTTAGATGTGAATTAAAAGAAATAGAGATTCTCTAGTTGATTTTTAAAAAAAATTCTGAGTTACTATAAGAAAGCTGATATGAACAGTAACTTAATTTGAAAGCCTTATTATATCTTCAGTCAAATGCCAGATGTAGAGGGAGAGTCTCAGATATTATGATGCTTATATATTGGGCATAGAGTTGATGTCACCATTTTGGTTCCAAAAAGAAGTCTAGGAACTATTTCCCTTTCATCCAATCTCCATTTTGCAAATGACCAGAAGGTAAAAATTGTTTGTCTGCTGGATGATCTTGTGGCAGAAAATACAAAAAAGTAATCACTGGAGGGGGAAAAAAAGTTTCATATGTATAATACTTCATTTGTACAATTATGCATGGATCTGGAGGGATAGGCCCATTGAAATGAATGGAACTTACTTTCTGTGAGATATAGACTTAATTATGCCATATCATAGATTTAAAATTAAGTTTAACATTTTTTCAAGGTTAATTTTAATGAAATGTTCATTGGATATTGTCTTTTGAAGTAAAAGTAGACATCTGAAAGAGGAAGAGAAGGAAAAGGAGATTTGAACAGAAGCATTAATTGAGTTTGAGATTGCTCACGTATATACCTGCATTACCAGATTCCCAGTTGAGAAGGCAAGACACAGTATAATGTAAACACAAGCTGGAATAGACATCTTAAGGACTTATTTTTATTATCAGAATGTGTGTCTGCTCTAAAATACCTGTGTTTCTTGCCTGAGTTCACATAAGCACTTTATGAAAGATAGGTAGCCTAGCTGTGTGGGAGATTAAATCTCAGATAACATGTCTTTTGTGGAGCTGCAGCAAATTTTGATTTATATATCAAGTCAGGTCTCCTTAAAGTTCAGCTCGGCTCCTGGTGATTTAATGCTTTTCCTACGGTAGTAACAATTCAGAAGTGACTTGCCATTGCATTCTACCAGATTTTTTAAAAAATGTTGTGGCACAGCATGTCCTGGTATTCTTAAAACAATTTTATAATCTTTCTTTCAAATTCAGTTCCTTATAGCCCTATCTATTCAATAATAAATAAGTGGTTAGTCATGTGTTCACTGAGTGATGTGGTGGCCTAATGGTGGCATTCTCACCTCACAATCAGGAGGTTGTGAGTTTGATCCTAGGTAATGGCAGATATTTCTCTGGGCGCAAAGAGAAAATATCTGCTGTGAACTCCATGTAGGCATCAGGAAGGGCATCTGGCCAGTAAATGCTCAGCTCCATTCAGCTGCCCCGACTCAACCCCGATGCAAGAGATTACAGGATTGTTAAAAGAAAAGAAAAAAAGTCACATGTTCATTGACTACTAATCCATAGCCAATTGTGTTATGCAGGACTTGTAGCTCCCCCAGCCATTGATAGCTGCATGGTTATTTTCTATGGCCTTCAGATATTCAGCAATCTCTGTTTTTATCATCTGTGATACACAGCAAAATTTGGTGATCTTGTATTAATTAATGATTCTTGTATCTATGCAGTAATGTAATTTGTCTTGTTCCCCCCTCCCCCAAATTGTGAACACAACTATTGTGTGGTTGGTCAACCACTGGCTTATTGTAAGAGTGTGACGTTTCTGGCAAGAGCCACAGTCCAAAAGGGGGTAGAGCCAAAACCAATTTTGATGCTTTAGATGCTTAGGGGAAAAGAAACACAAATGAACTAGATGTCCGCAAGGGACACTCTTTGTGATCTTAAAAAATAAATAAATCTGATTTTTTTTTAAAAAAAAAAACCATACAAATGTTTTGCTTATAGTCCCTCAGTCTTACTTTCTCCACTCCTAGATTATAGCTTAGTGAATAGTGTTAACACAGACAATTGTGATTTATTCAACAAACTATAGTTAACTACATGTCTTAAGAGTGTTTACTATTTTGCTTCCCCCCCCCCATTTCATGCAATAGCAATAGTCTTTAGGTTTCTATGCCACCCCATAGTGTTTTATAGCACACTTTGGGGCACACTTTATATTGTCAAAGCATTATTTGCATATTGCTCCCAACAATCTGGGTCCTCATTTTATCAACCTCGGGAGGATAGAAGGCTGAGTCAACCTTGAGCCCCGTCAGGATCGAACTCCAGACTGTGGGCAGAGTTTGCCTGCAATACTGCACTGTGCTAGCAAGGCTCCTGATTCTCATTCTCCGAAACTGTCTGGACCAATCCTTTCAGTTTTCTTTGCAAGGTTTTTCAGAAGTGGTTTGCCACTGCCTCCCCACCCCCCATACAACTGGCTCAAGGTACAGTAGTCAGCTAGCTCTGTGCTTAAAATGGAATTAGAACTCACACAGTCTGCCAGTTATCCCTGATACAATTTTCTTCAAAATCTTAGCACAATACAACATCTTCTGGTGGCATATTTGTTCCAGGTATCTATGCAGATTTAGATTAGCTAGATTTCGAGCCTGATGCCTTAATCACTATATCAAAACTGTCTCAGTTTTGGCTTAGTACTATATATAAACCAAACAATGCCTTGTTTAAACTATATTTATTTATTTATTGTGTTTCTATCCCATTCATTTCTAAACAAACTATCCTGTGACGGCCAATAATAAAAAAAACTGAGCAAGACCAATAAAACTACAATACCTGATAAACCATAATATACTATAATCCTACAATGTATATTATCTATCAAAAGCAGAAATATACAGACTGTGAAACATTATAACTTCTGCCACAGAAATATTCAAGCAACAGTCTTGAAATCACCAATTCATCCTAAGACAAGCCAAATTTTAACTTCTGAAAACAATCAGGGAGGGAGCAGCTTAAATCTCTAGGGCCAGAGGAGAGTTTCGTAAAACTTGGACTGACAGAGGGCACTATTGGACTGTCTCCTAAAATGGCCTGCATCATTTCTATCATGCTACCTTCTCCTTCCACAGGAGCTGCAAGTTGTCTCTCTCTTCCCCG